TGCAGCGCGCCGTGCTAAAGACACTTGCAACTGATTCGTTAAGAAGATACAAGATTTAGACTCCATCATTTTTCTCGAAAACTATTACTCAAAGACACTTATACATTCTTTGAATTGTATATGGTGTCAGAAACTTTCCACGTGAGGCCATCCTAAACGTATATGATATCGTGAACATAGCATTTGCGAAACTTCTTTTCTTTATAACTTTTTAACAAACAACGAGCGACGGCTAAAACCTTCTGAAGGTCACTCAGTAAGGTGACCTTGACAACATATGCCAAGGTCAAGGTCATTGGGGCTGGGTCCGTGTTTCCGAAGTTTTACCTTTTTAGATTTCAATTTGTTATATCTCCTAAACCAATGCCGTCCCCCACTTGATTTATGCGGGGAATTACTCAGAAAACTCTCCCCTACAACATATCTAAGTGCCGACCTTTTATGCATATTTACCGAAATTAATAAGGCTTTTTTCAGATTAAGTCAGTTAACAGTCAACAAATTGATAATGTCTTTCGACAAATCCACTCATTCGCAGGTAATGATATTTATATATGTTAAGTTCAATATGATGAAAGATCACAATAATTACAGATTAGTTATATTTTTACATTTTTGATTGTTAGATGGAGGAGCATCGTCCGAAAAAATTACCAACGTCGTACTATATATGCTGGCAATCGACAATTGTCCCTTGTCCACCGTCGAAAACGAAGGATTTTGCACTCTTATGAAGACGATAGTTCCGCGGTACAAAATCCCATCAAGACGCACTATTACTCGTTACATGGACGATAAGTATGAACATTTGCATAACATGTTCAAATGCGAGATTGCTCAAGTTACTGTGAAGAGTGGATGCTTAGGCGTATTGCCGTTAGACGAAAGCCACACGGCACAGTATCTTTCACAAATTCTTGTTGAGGGATTTCAATTCTTTGGAATCAATCGAGAAACCGTGACAGCGATCGTAACTGATAATGGCGCGAACATTAAAAAAGCAGCAATCGATTGTTTTGGTGCTTCCAAACATCTTGAGTGTTTTGCTCACGCTGTGTCGCATATTGTGCCCGATGCCGTAAGTGCTACGCCTGAGGTTGAACAAGCAATCGCAAAAGTAAAAGTTATTGTCACACTAACGAAACGTAGCGTCGTCGTTTCGGACGAATTACGGCGTCTGCAAAAACGGGATGGAAAAACGGAAGCCACACTTCTCAAATTTAAACAAGACGTTCCTACGAGGTGGAATTCGACTTTGATTATGATTGAGCGATTTCTGGAGCTTCACGAATACGTATATCCGATATCTCTTAAGTGCAAAGGGTCCGTAGAAATACCTAGGCGCGAAGAACTCGATTTATTGCGGGATATAGTTTTAGTTTTTAAACCTGTGGAAAATGTAATAACCGAGTACAGCGGAGATACATATGTCACATCGAGTTTGATAATTCCAATTATCCGTTGTATGATGATTGCTATCAAGGCACGCAGTCCGTGCACTAAAATAGGGCAACAGTTCCAAGAAAAACTTTTATCGGAATCATATCGTCGATTTAAAGATTATGAGTCTCGCGAACTGCTTGCGATTTCGACCATTCTTGACCCGCGATTTAAGAAGCTGCATTTTCAAAAGCCTCTTCTCGCCGCGACTGCAATCACGAAGATCAATGCAATTATTAAACATCCAAGCAAAGGTCCTACCATGCAAGTGATGGAAGGATGAAAATAATTCGCAGGTAGCAAACGATAGCGTATGGAGTTTTCACGATAAACTCATTTTCGAGAATAAAAGGGTATCTTCCGAATGCGACGATCTCGCTCTCGAACTTAGACAGTATTTGAATCAGCCGGTTGTGTCGCGAACCGAAAATCCCATCGAATACTGGAATAAGTTGGGAGTTGCATATCCGACACTACATTCCTGTGCTCTAAAATATTTAAGCATTGTTGCTACATCCGTTCCGTCAGAGAGATTGTTTTCAAAAGCCGGCGCAATTAAAGCTGAACGTCGTAGTCGACTTACGGGAGATAGACTTAATAAGTTGGTATTTCTTAGTTCCCTCAACAAAGAATATTGGTATATTTCATAAACAGCGTTTGTAACTTCAAGTTTCTTAAAGTGATAACTTGTATTATCACTTTAATATAGCAAATACAGTTATCTATAATATCGTAGTCAACTTACGGGAGACAGACTTAATAAAGCCAACGGCACACGGTACTATTTTTCCTACTGATTTTCTTAATTGATTCGTTGCGTGCTGTTTAACGAAGCGTTCTACGTGTCCCAATTATAAGAGTGCTACTATTGTTGGTTTCACATGTGCAGATTATCTTGAGTGTTGGGTTAATATTTAAGTTAAAAGATTTCTGGAGAGTTGAACAACATTATTCAAGCTTCTAAAAATTCCCTAGATAACAGCCAATCAGAATATTCAATAAACCCTGTCGTATATCTGATATTGTCATAACCGCAAAGTTCCGCTTGACGTGGAGTGAACAGCACGTCTTCTAAAGTATCGTCTACAATAGATGAAGTAAGCCTGGCGTAAGAAGTAAGAGTAGGAGTAAAGAAACAGATCACTCCCCAGACAGCCAAGCCTGTAAAGAACAGATTTCCGAAAAATCTGTTGCCAAATTTTGTTGACAGAAAGACTACAGATTTGATACAGGCTCTGATATGTCACATAATGTCGGCATATCATCAACAGAAATACACCAAAGCTTGATAACATGACCGGACAGCAGATTGACGGCAGAAATCGAGCAGATCCTGCTCATGCAACATGGTGGCAGATTGGCGGCAGAAACCGAGCAGGGTCTGCTGACATAACCTGCCGCCGAACTGCCACCAGAAATGCAACAAATTCTGTAGTCGAACGATTTAAATCGTGACGTAACTGGTATTTAAATCAGTTGACGTTCTTATTATTTTTCTATTTCTATTCTTCAAAGAAAGTAATAAATGAACAATTTTATTTTAACAGTAATATATATTCTGTGTTAGAAAACATATAATAAAAAATTTATACAAAAATACGTATTATATACAAATTATTATATTACAAATTATATACAATTATCAATCACACACATATAAATTAAATACGGTTATATATAAATTAAATACAATTATATACAAGTATAA